GGGTAACGGGGGTAATGGGGGTGATGGGGTAATGGGGTAACGGGGGTAATGGGGCTTATGGGGTAATGGGGTGATGGGGGCTATGGGGTAATGGGGATAACAGGGGTAACGGGGGTAGTGGGGGTAATGGGGGTTATGGGGTAATGGGGTAATGGGGGTTATGGGGTAATGGGGGTGATGGGGGCTATGGGGTAACAGGGGTAGTGGGGGTTATGGGGGCAATGGGGGTAATGGGGGTTATGGGGTAATGGGGGCGTTGGGGTAACAGGGGTAATAGGGGTGATGGGGGCTATGGGGTAACGGGGGTAATGGGGGTTATGGGGGTAATGGGGGCTATATGGTAACGGGGGTAATGGGGGTAATGGGGTAACAGGGGTAATGGGGGCTATGGGGTAATGGGGGTTATGGGGTAATGGGGGTAATGGGGTAATGGGGATAATGGGGGGCTATGGGGGTTATGGGGTAATGGGGGTAATGGGGGCGAATGGGGGTAATGGGGGCTATGGGGGTGATGGGGGTAATGGGGGGCTATGGGGGGTGATGGGGGGAATGGGGTAATGGGGGGCTATGGGGTAACGGGGGTTATGGGGGTAATGGGGTAATGGGGGCTAATGGGGGGCTATGGGGTAATGGGGGCTATGGTGTAATGGGGGGGTAATGGGGGTGATGGGGGCTATGTTGTAATGGGGGGGTAATGGCGGTGATGGGAGCTATGGGGTAATGGGGGCTATGGGGTAATGGGGGTAATGGGGGCTATGGTGTAATGGGGGTAATGTGGGCTATGGGGTAACGGGGGTAATGGGGATGGGGGCTATGGGGTAATGGGGGCAATGGGGGTAACGGGGGCTATGGGATAATGGGGGTAATGGGGGCTATGGGGTAACCCGGGTTATGGGGGTAATGGGGTAACGGGGGTAATGGGGGCTATGGGGTAACCTGGGTTATGGGGGTAATGGGGGCTATGGGGTAACCCAGGTTATGGGGGTAATGGGGTAACGGGGGTAATGGGTGCTATGGGGTAACCCGGGTTATGGGGGTAATGGGGACTATGGGGTAACCCGGGTTATGGGGGTGATGGGGTAACGGGGGTAATGGGGGCTATGGGGTAACCTGGGTTATGGGGGTAATGGGGGCTGTGGGGTAACCTGGGTTATGGGGGTAATGGGGTAATGGGGGCTATGGGGTAACAGGGTCTATGGGGTAATGGGGGCTATGGTGTAATGGGGGGGTAATGGGGGTGATGGGGCTATAGGGTAATGGGGGCTATGGGGTAATGGGGGTAATGGGGGCTATGGGGTAACGGGGGTAATGGGCGTCATGGGGGCTATGGGGTAATGGGGGCAATGGGGGCTATGGGGTAATGGGGGCAATGGGGGCTATGGGGCAATGGGGGTAATCAGGGCAGTGGGGGTTATGGGGGCAATGGGGGCAATGGGGATAAGGGGGTAATGGGGGCTATGGGGGCAATGGGGATCACAGGGGCAATGGGGGTAATGGGAGCAATGGGGATAAGGGGGGCAATGGGGGCTATGGGGGCAATGCGGGTAATGGGGATAATGGGGGTAATGGACAATGGGGCAACAGAGGCTATGGGGGTCATGGGGACAATGGGGCTAAGGAGGGTTATGGGGGGAATGGGCGCTATGGGGCAATGGGGGGAATGGGGTCTTTGGGGTGGCCACGGTGTCCAAAGGGTGACCACAGGGCCCTACAATGTCCCTATGGTGGCCATAGGTCCCCATGACGTGGCTGTAGGACCCCATAAGTTGGCTGTGTCCCCCACAAGGGGTGCCCATAGAACCCCATAGGGTGCCCATAGAACCCCATAGAGTGCCCATATAACCCCATAGGGTGCCCATATAACCCCATAGGGTGCCCATAGAACCCCATGAGGTGCCTATATAAGCCCTCAGGGTGCCCATAGAACCCCATAGATTGCCCATAGAACCCCATAGGGTGCCCACATGACTCCATGGGGTGCCCTTATAACCCCATAGATTGCCCACATAACCCCATAGAGTGCCCATATAACCCCATGGGGTGCCCATGTAACCCCATAGGGTACCCATATAACCCCATAGAGTGCCTGTAGAACCCCATGGGGTGCCCCCCATAGGGTGACCATACAACCCCATAGAGTACACGTAGAACCCCATAGGGTGCCCACATGACTCCATGGGGTGCCCTTATAACCCCATAGATTGTCCACATAACCCCATAGGGTGACCATAGAACCCTATAGAGTACCTGTAGAACACCATGGAGTGCCCATAGAACCCCATAGGGTGCCCATAGAACCCCATAGGGTGCCCACATGACTCCATGGATTGCCCACATAACCCCATAGGGTGGCTATATAACCCCATAGGTTGACCATATAACCCCATAGAGTACCCATAGAACCCCATGGGGTGCCCATAGAACCCCATAGGGTACCCATATAACGCCATGGGGTGCCCATAGAACCCCATAGGGTATTCATAGAACCCCATAGGTTGCCCATAGAACCCCATAGGGTGCCCGCATGACTCCATGGGGTGCCTTATAACCCCATGGATTGCCCACATGACCCCATAGGGCGCCCACATAACCCCACAGGATGCCCACGTAGCCCCATAGGGTGCCCATAGAACCCCATGAGGTGCCCATAGAACCCCGTGGGGTGCCCCTAGAACGCCATGGGGTGCCCCTAGAACGCCATGGGGTGCCCCTAGAACGCCATGGGGTGCCCCTAGAACGCCATGGGGTGCCCCTAGAACGCCATGGGTGACCCCCCGGCCCTGTGCCCGCAGCGCTGAAGGACGAGCGGTTCCAGCTGGTGGAGTTCAGCCGGCGGCGGCTGCGGTTGCGCCTGGCGCGGGCCCGGCTGGAGGACGAGGGTGGTTACTACTGCCAGCTGTACACCGAGGCCACCCACCACCAGATCGCCACCCTCACCGTGCTGGGTGAGCGCTGGGAGTCAATGGGGCACAATGGGAGTCAATGGGACCCCATGGGAGTCAATGGGAATCAATGGGACTCAATGGGACCCCATGGGAGTCAAGGGTACACAATGGGAGTCAATGGGACCCCATGGGAGTCAATGGGACCACATGGGAGTCAATGGGAATCAATGGGACTCAATGGGACCCCATGGGAGTCAATGGGACCCCATGGGAGTCAATGGGAATCAATGGGACACAATGGGACTCAATGGGACCCCATGGGAGTCAATGGGACACCATGGGAGTCAATGGGACCCCATGGGAGTCAATGGGAATCAATGGGACTCAATGGGACCCCATGGGAGTCAATGGGAATCAATGGGACACAATGGGACTCAATGGGACCCCATGGGAGTCAATGGGAATCAATGGGACACAATGGGACTCAATGGGACCCCATGGGAGTCAATGGGACACCATGGGAGTCAATGGGACCCCATGGGAGTCAATGGGACTCAATGGGACCCCATGGGAGTTAAGGGTACACAATGGGAGTCAATGGGACACAATGGGAGTCAATGGGACACAATGGGAGTCAATGGGACACAATGGGACACAATGGGAGTCAATGGGACTCAATGGGACACCATGGGAGTCAAGGGTACACAATGGGAGTCAATGGGAATCAATGGGACACAATGGGAGTCAATAGGACTCAATGGCACACACTGGGACACCGTGGGAGTCAGTGGGACTCAATGGGACTCAATAGGACACAATGGGATACCATGGGAGTCAATGGGACTCAATGGGACAACATGGGAGTCAATGGGAATCAATGGGGACTCAACGGGAGACCATGGGAGTCAATGGGAATCAATGGGACACCATGGGAGTCAATGGGAATCAATAGGACACAATGGGAGGCCATGGGAGTCAGTGGGAGTCAATGGGAATCAATAGGACACAATGGGAGACCATGGGAGTCAATGGGACTCGATGGGACAACATGGGAGTCAATGGGAATCAGTGAGACACAATGGGAGTCAATGAGACACAATGGGACTCCATGGGGATCAATAGGACACAATGGGAGACCATGGGAGTCAGTGGGACTCAATAGGGCAACATGGGAGTCAATGGCAATTAATGGGGACTCAATGTGACCCCATGGGAATCAATGGGACACCATGGGAGTCAATGGGAATCAATAGGACTCAATGGGACACCATGGGACGCAATAGAACTCAACGGGAACCCATGGGAGTCAATGTAAATCAATGGTACACAATGGGAGTCAGTGAGACTCAATGGGCCACAATGGGAGTCAATGGGAATCAATAGGACACAAGGGGAGACCATGGGAGTCAGTGGGAATCAATGGGACACAATGGGACACCATGGGAGTCAATGGGAATCAATAGGACTCAATGGGACACCATGGGACGCAATAGAACTCAACGGGAACCCATGGGAGTCAATGTAAATCAATGGTACACAATGGGAGTCAATGAGACTCAATGGGACACAATGGGAGTCAATGGGAATCAATAGGACACAAGGGGAGACCATGGGAGTCAGTGGGAATCAATGGGACACAATGGGACACCATGGGACACAATAGGACGCAACGGGACCCCATGGGAGTCAACGTGAATCAATGGTACACAATGGGTGTCAATGAGACTCAATGGGACACGATGGGAGTCAATGGGGATCAATAGGACACCAAGGGAGTCAATGGGAATCAACAGGACACAATGGGTGTCAATGGGAATCAATAGGACACAATGGGACTCAATGGGACACCATGGGAGTCAATGGGAATCAATGGGACTCAATGGGACCCCATGGGAGTCAATGGGAATCAATAGGACACAATGAGACACAATGGGCCACCATGGGACGCAATAGGACACAACGGGACCCCATGGGAGTCAACGTGAATCAATGGTACACAGTGGGAGTCAATGAGACACAATGGGACTCCATGGGGATCAATAGGACACAATGGGAGACCATGGGAGTCAGTGGGACTCAACTGGACACAATGGGACTCAATGGGGCACAGTAGGACTCAATGGGACAGAAAACAATTCAATGGGACTCAGTGGGACTCAATGGCACCCAGTGGGACTGAATGGGACTCAATGGCACCCAATGGGACTCAGTGGGACTCAATGGCACCCAATGGGACTCAATGGCACCCAATGGGACTCTGGGACTCAATGGCACCCAATGGGACTCAGTGGGACTCAATGGCACCCAATGGGACTGAGTAGGACTCAATAGGACTCAATGGCACCCAATGGGTCTCAATGACACCCAATGAGACTCAGTGGGACTCAATGGCACCCAATGGGGCTCAGTGACACCCAATGGGACTCTGGGACTCAGTGGGACGCAATGGCATACAATGGCACCCAATGGGGCTCAATGGCACCCAATGGGACTCGGTGTCCCTCAATGACACCCAATGGGCCTCAGTGTCCCTCAATGGCACCCAATGGGACTCAGTGTCCCTCAATGGCACCCAATGGGCCTCATTGTCCCTCAATGGGCCTCAGTGTCCCTCAATGGCACCCAATGGGACTCAGTGTCCCTCAATGGCACCCAATGGGACTCAATGGCACCCAATGGGACTCAGTGCCCCTCAATGGCACCCAATGGGACTCAGTGGGCCTCAATGGGCCTCAGTGTCCCTCAATGGCACCCAATGGGACTCAGTGTCCCTCAATGGCACCCAATGGGACTCAATGGCACCCAATGGGACTCAGTGCCCCTCAATGGCACCCAATGGGACTCAGTGTCCCTCAATGGGACTCAGTGCCCCTCAATGGCACCCAATGGGACTCAGTGTCCCTCAATGGCACCCAATGGGCCTCAGTGTCCCTCAGTGGGCCTCAGTGTCCCTCAATGGCACCCAATGGGACTCAGTGTCCCTCAATGGCACCCAATGGGACTCAGTGTCCCTCAATGGAACTCGGTGTCCCTCAATGGCACCCACTGGGGCTCAGTTCCCCTCAATGGGCCTCAGTGTCCCTCAGTGGCACCCAATGGGACTCAATGGCACCCAATGGGACTCAGTGTCCCTCAATGGCACCCAATGGGACTCAGTGTCCCTCAATGGGCGTCAGTGTCCCTCAATGGCACTCAATGGGACTCAGTGTCCCTCAATGGCACCCAATGGGACTCAGTGTCCCTCAATGTGACTCAGTGTCCCTCAATGGCACCCAATGGGAGTCAGTGTCCCTCAATGGCACCCAATGGGACTCAATGGCACCCAATGGGACTCATTGTCCCTCAATGGCACCCACTGGGACTCGGTGTCCCTCAATGGCACTCAATGGGCCTCAGTGTCCCTCAATGGCACCCATTGGGACTCAATGGCACCCAATGGGACTCAGTGTCCCTCAATGGCACCCAGTGGGAGTCAGTGTCCCTCAATGTCACCCAATGGGACTCAGTGTCCCTCAATGGGACTCAGTGTCCCTCAATGGCACCCGATGGGACTCAGTGTCCCTCAATGTGACTCAGTGTCCCTCAGTGGCACCCAATGGGACTCAATGGCACTCAATGGGCCTCAGTGTCCCTCAATGGCACCCAATGGGACTCAATGGCACCCATTGGGACTCAATGGCACCCAATGGGACTCATTGTCCCTCAATGGGCCTCAGTGTCCCTCAATGGGCCTCAGTGGGCCTCAATGGGACTCAATGGCACCCAATGGGACTCAGTGTCCCTCAATGGCACCCAATGGGACTCAGTGTCCCTCAATGGGACTCAGTGTCCCTCAATGGCACCCAATGGGACTCAATGGCACCCAATGGGACTCATTGTCCCTCAATGGGACTCAGTGTCCCTCAATGGCACCCAATGGGACTCAATGGCACTCAATGGGCCTCAGTGTCCCTCAATGGGCCTCAGTGTCCCTCAATGGCACCCAATGGGACTCAATGGCACCCAATGGGACTCAATGGCACTCAATGGGACTCAGTGTCCCTCAATGGCACCCAATGGGACTCTGTGTCCCTCAATGGCACCCAATGGGACTCAATGGCACCCAATGTGCCTCAGTGTCCCTCAATGGCACCCAGTGGGACTCAGTGTCCCTCAATGGCACCCAATGGGACTCAATGGCACCCATTGGGACTCAATGGCACCCAATGGGACTCATTGTCCCTCAATGGGCCTCAGTGTCCCTCACTGGGCCTCCGTGGGCCTCACTGGGCCTCCGTGGGCCTCACTGGGCTGCCCCATTGCCGTCGCAGTGCCCCCCGAGGACCCGGTGGTGGAGGCCGGCGCGGCGGCGGTGGAGGGCGCGGAGCTGGAGCTGAGCTGCGTGGTGCCAAGAGCCCGGCCCCCGGCAACGCTGCGCTGGTACCGGGACCGGAGGGAGCTGCCGGGTGAGAGCAGTGGCATGGGGCTGTGGGGTGGGGTGTGGGGTGTGGGTGTGGGGTGTGGATATGGGGTATGGGATATGGGATATGGGATATGGGATATGGGGTGTGGGGTGTGGGTATGGGATATGGGATATGGGATATGGGATATGGGGTGTGGGGTGTGGGTATGGGATATGGGATATGGGATATGGGATATGGGTTATGGGGTATGGGGTATGGGATATGGGGTATGGGATATGGGATATGGGATATGGGGTATGGGGTATGGGGTATGGGATATGGGGTGTGGGATATGGGGTATGGGGTGTGGGATATGGGGTATGGGATATGGGGTATGGGATATGGGATATGGGGTATGGGGTGTGGGATATGGGGTATGGGATATGTGGGATATGGCGTATGGGGTGGGGGATATGGGGTATGGGATATTATGGGATATGGGGCATGGGATAGTATGGGATATGGGATATGGGGTATGGGGTGTGGGCTATGGACTATGGGATATGGGATATGGGATATGGGGTATGTGGTGTGGGATATGGGCTATGGGATATGGGATATGGGGTATGGGGTGTGGGATGTGGGGTATGGCATATGGGATATGGGGTATGGGATATGGGGTATGGGATATGGGATATGGGATATGGGGTGTGGGATATGGGATATGGGGTATGGGATATGGGATATGGGATATGGGATATGGGGTATGGGATATGGGATATGGGATATGGGATATGGGGTGTGGGATATGGGATATGGGATATGGGGTATGGGATATGGGATATGGGGTATGTGGTGTGGGCTATGGGATTTGGGATATGGGGTATGGGGTGTGGGATGTGGGGATATGGGAGCTGCAGGGTGTGGGGTTGGGGTGTGGGAGTGGGGTGTGGGGCTGGGGCGTGGAGCGCCGCGATCACGGAGCCATCGTCACCTGCGAGGCCTCGCACCCGGCCCTGGCGAGGGGGCAGCGCCGCCAGACCCAGTACATGTTGGATGTGCAGTGTGAGGGCGGGCGAGGGGATGGGGGGTACAGGGTGGGGGGTGGGGGTGGGGGTAGAGGGTGTGGGGTGTTGGGGTATGGGATGTGGGGTGTGGGATGTGGGTGTGGGGTGTGGGGTGTGGGATGTGGGATGTGGGGTGTGGGGTGTGGGATGTGGGATGTGGGATGTGGGATGTGGGGGTGTGGGGTGTGGGGTGTGGGGTGTGGGGTGTGGGGTGTGGGGTGTGGGGTGTGGGGTGTGGGGTGTGGGGTGTGGGATGTGGGGTGTGGGGGATGGGATATGGGCTATGGGGTGTGGGGGATGGGGTATGGGATATGGGGGATGGGGTGTGGGGGGATGGGGTATGGGATATGGGATGTGGGGTGTGGGATGTGGGGTATGGGATGTGGGATATGGGGATATGGGATGTGGGGTGTGGGATGTGGGGTGTGGGGTAGGGGGTGTGGGGTGTGGGGGGTGGGGTATGGGATATAGGATATGGAATGTGGGGTATGGGATATGGGGTGTGGGATGTGGGGTATGGGATGTGGGATGTGGGGTATGGGGTATGGTGTATGCGATGTAGGGTGTTGGGGTATGGGGTATGGGTATGGGGTGTGGGGTATGGGGTGTGGGGTGTGGGGTATGGGGGTATGGGGTGTGGGGTGTGGGGTATGGGATGTGGGGTGTGGGGTATGGGGTGTGGGGTATGGGATGTGGGGTTGT